CGACGAACAATCCTGCCAATCCAAGCAATTTGTGTTATCCGACACCTATAGTGAGTACACGGAAGTGTTCCAAGATTAAAGTTTCCCGTGTTTTCAGCAAGTGATGTATGGAATGTTACCATACTGGATGGTTTCCCCGGCTATGACTAATCCTGCTTTGCTACAAACCACTGCAACCAACAGTCATTCAACTCCCACATCTGCTGTTTCTCCCGGAGTCACTGCTCGTCCTCACACTGAACCACTCTATGATTGGATTAAGAATCATGAGAAAGATCCGTATCCAACAAGACGGGAGAAAGAAATCCTTGCCCGAGTATGTGGTATGACCGCTCGTCAGGTAATTCTGAGTGAAATAGACTCTGTTCTACTTCCTTCTTCAGATTGAACATTGGTTTGCTAATGCCAGAAGGCGCATGAAGAAGATGCAAAACTCCAAACGACTACGTTCATCCACGGATTCCACGCTAGACAGAGAAGGTTTGTTGTTTCTATATTTATCTTCATTGAGCTATCTATTTCAGACGAGTCCGCAACATTAACGTCATCATTCTCATCTGCCTCGTCAACGGAAGATTCGATGTTAACGCCAACATCATCATCGTCCCTCATACTAACAACTGTTCCGGATAAACAGGACGATAGAACGGAAATCAAAAAACCTAAAGGCATTTGGTCAATCATCAACACATTACAGTAATCTTCAGATTCTCTTTGAATTGCTCAAAGGCTTTGATTATCAAATTCTTCGCTTACTGTGATGATCTCTTCTTACCTTCTCCTATTTCTTCTTTCCGAGTGCAAAAATCCGTTTCAAGCGCTTCAACTCGCATTCTACTGAGTCTTCTCTTGTCTCGACTTCCTCATTTCCTCGTTTTCCTATTCACCTCATTCACATTTCACCTCACACTCTCGTTCTTTCGTTTCTCTCTCCCTCCCTCTCTCTCACAGTCTCTCTCTCTCTCTGTAGTATCTGTATATAGACAATTAATAATAAGGAACTTCCTGTGCATGTAAAGGTTTCATGTTGACATTTCATATAAATTTTTGTTAAAAGTTATCGAACTGCTTTTGGACTTTCTTCAAACCGTTTTCATCCTCCACATCACTCGCTATCAGTGTTTCGAT